ATGAAGCCTAAGGCATGAACAAGGAGATCTGTGGTTGGATTCGCTCTTGAAGAATGTTTGTGGGCTTCCGCTCGGTAGAGCTTCAGACCTGAGTTTGGGGTAACTTACTGCTGGTTTGGCTTATAAAAGGGTATCCCTGCTGGTTGTTCTAGCAGAACAAATGGAAATCTGGGGAGGTCGTCAGAGACTGAATGCCTTACTTCCAAAAGCTGTGTTTCTGCGCCTTGTATGAATCCTTTGTATTCACATAACAGGGTTAGTTCAGTGGGCTAAGGAAATGAAGTCATCCATCGCATGCCCACTAAGCTACCTGCTCAGCCTTTAATGTAATCGTACCAAATGATGGTCACCAAGTTTTGCACCTCTTTTTTAAGATCTAAGCCTTTATTTCCTGCTCCAGCACTTTTTGGATGATTGTCATAATGTAATACTATTTTTATTCTCCAATTCTTGGCAAGTCTTCCAGTTCAGGGGGATTAAGAAGAACATTAATTGATTCGTGTCTGTCGGTGGGTGCCAAGTTTACATGAAAGTCTTCTTTGCTCTATGCGGTAGCTAACCTGTAGTAGCCATTTTAATGAGTATTTTTTTTGCATGCTGTGTGTGCCTGATCCAGTAATAAGACGAGGCTTGTGGATTAATCCAAAATAACGGCGCTTTTTTTTTAAACACCCACCCCCACCCCAAAAGAAGCCATTCCACCATTAATTAAAGAAAGCACTTTAGCATATGAAACATGATTTAAAACAGTTCCATTCTTCTTGATCTCAGGCTACTTGAAAATTAAACCCGTAACAATTCTGCTGCTATTCGAGCCATTCCTTTGGCTGGGTCGAGATGCTGCCATGCCCAGGGTGGCGGGTTGGGGTTGCAGCGACTGACCCTAATTCCAAGGACACTGGTTCATACAGGGTGTTTAATTTCCTTCCTAAAACATATGCCTTTTAGCAATGAAATTTCAGGCGTTACTATTCCTCAACCAGCTAACACTATAGGCTAAAAGATGGCTGTCTTGATTTGTAGCTCATTAACTGCATTCCCACTAGATACTTAACCAAGTCAATTATGCAAAGCTTAGCACCATTTAGTGGCACGCTAAGATCAATTAGTCTTAACCTTGGTGGTTGTTGGTTGGGTGGGTGTGTTGTGTGATCCAAGACCCTTTGGGTAGTTCAGGGATTTTCAAACTTTGCAGAGGGATTTCCTAAAACAATATATGCATTTTTTGTGAGCCCCCCCCCAAAATAATAGATTTAATTTGGGGTAGGGTTCAGCAAGAAACAAATGTACCACTTACTTTTAATCATTAAATGTTAGCCTGCATATCAGAGGCATTCATAAACTTTGCAGTACATAGGCAAAGTGAGGAGCAAAGCCCAGAACAAATTTTAATCAGCCTGCCTGCACTAAAATTGTAACTGTCTTCTGAAAAGTTGTGGACCCCCTTCTGTACTGGGCTGGTCCAACTCCATTTGCAACCCCCTAGATTAGGTTATAGTTCAGTGTATTGTGCAAATGCAGAAAATGGGTTAATTCGGTAACCGAGTTCAGTATGTTGATGTGAACTCAGCTAGTATGACACACAAACACAGCCACTGAAAAGGTTGCTTTTCAAGTTCTGACTCAATAAGGCAGGAAAAATCTCTTTTTCCCTCCAAGATTATGTCAGGTAACTCCTTGAACTCTGCTATAGCTTTCACTAGTGAAAAATGGGCTGTCTTCCATGTGACACCTGTTCAAGCCCCAGTACAAGTGCTCTGCATTCCTCTTGTGGAGACCCTTCCATTTCACCATTCCTTCCACAAATCTAATCAGGGCCAAAGACGTTGATGAATTATTATTATCTGCTTGCTCTATCAAGTGGACAACTCACTAACACATCTCTGCCTCAGATGAGGATAGGAACAACTTTTTCCCACTACCACAGCCTTTATTTTGGGGTGGGGGGTGGGGGCGTGTAATCAATTTCTGTTTCTTAGGCCTTAGAATATACTTGAACAGCTGGGAAGAAGAGAGAGTCTTCTCCTTGAGAATGGTTTGGGACATAAATCTGCCCTTGTTTGATCAAAGTTTTGCTTCTGCTCTGTGTATTTACAGAATCCAATGAATTGGTAGCTACTGTATCCATCCTTATTATGGATTTCTGGGGGAAAAACAGAAATAAGAATCTGCACAAGAAATGTATTTCCCTTAATTATTAAGACCATGCATTCATTGTTAAATATCAGGGAGTCTACTTCCCATTCTTAGTTTTGCAATTCCCCATCAATAACCTTGTATTAAACTAGACGTAGGTAAAAAGTATAAATAACCTTTATTGCCAGAGAGGGGGTGTTATTCAATGAATGGCTCTATAAAATCAGGATTATGAACCCTACAGAGAGGATAACCCTGAGTGCAATAAGAGCTGATTGTATTTGTAAGCATAAGTGAGGATTTCAGGACATGAAGATTGGCTCAACTTGCACACTTTTAAAGAGAAACAGCTGTAAAGTGTATTTGTAAATATTTGCCAATGTTTGGGGTGAATTGATTAATTTGTGTTTTAAACTGTAAGATGTAACTACCATAGGGAATCCCCCAGGGACTTTCTGATGCTGACAATTTGTGTTTAAAAAAAAAAAAGGAACAAAAAATATCCAGCATTGTAATTGTATTTGATGCATGTTTTTTTTCCTTTAACCTCAAGAAACTTAAAACATGCAGCTTCTCCCACCAGAAGACCAGGAGGCCTGCGCTCCTAACAAGAACGTGATGGGTTCTTGCTCCTTCACACCCATCACTGCAGCTCTGATCAAGAGCCAGGCATCTCGTTGACCGAACCAGAGTTTTGCATGCACGAAGCCTCAACTTCATGAGACTGTGTGCAAGTTGCTGCCAGCTAGATTAGGCAGAATTTAGCTTAAGTGACCCAGCATAAGGCAGCTTCATACTTCCAATAGGCCGTTAAGAGGCAAGACTGATTTTGTGATAAACGCTGATATCCGAGTGCCAAGAACTTAGGGTTTTAGCCATAGGGTCGGTCAGGAGGGCCCCGTATGTATGCAGAAGGGCAGCGCCTCTGAAGCACTGAAATGATGTCCCTTCCCTGCCCACTCACATTTATGGAATATGGGAGGGATGTCACTCAGTAAGTCCCCCCGATGCCACACTGGACACAAATCATCAGTGCGAGAGGAGGCTGCGTTTTGCTGCTTTAGTTAAAAGCCCAACTTGATATCCAAAGGAGGAGAAGAGCAGGGAGGTCCTGCTGTGCAGGATTTTCCCCCTTCTTCTTTCTTCTTGGTTAGAGACCAAAGGAATTACTTTCTCTTTTTTTGTGGCTGTTGGAAGCCCAAACCGCCTTCCATACCTGCACAAAGGGAGAGGCATGTTGGTCTTCCTGCCGTATGAAACACTTGAGAATCCTTCAACTTCTGTGGAATGTATTTTTAAGAGATGAAAATATATTTTTTCTATTTGCTAATGTTAAGACTGGGTGGAAAAGGGACTGCAGAAGCCAGACATTGTATGTGTCCCAAGGCAGAGGAGCACTGCCTGCCTTCTATTCCTTTTCAGGTGAAGAAAAAAGCAAGTGCAATTTAAGCCCACGATGTCCTGAGCGCCTCTGCTCCCGGCCCTCCGTGTGCCCAGCCAATTACCAGCACTGTCCAGGTCATGCTCCCCCCGACCCACAAGGAAGCACCGCAGGGCTAGCATGCTGGCTGGGGAAAGGCTCCCACCCTTTCACCTCCCAAACTCGCCTATGCACTGGACAGCAGGCAGGGTGAACCTGCCAGTTACACAGAGCAACGAGTCTGCATGCTATGTTTAAACTCATTTTTTGTCCGCATGTTATCTTCTGACTAATGCTATCTGTTCTGCAGTACATAATCAATAAAATTATTTGTATGTTAATGCAACTTTTGAGACAGAAAAATCCTTTTGCTTCTTCAAAGGGAAAGAAAATCCAGCTGCTTTTGCACAACCTGCTGTGATGTGTTGACAGGGTTAAGGATCAAAAAGTGTACCAATGAGTGTGATATCTGGAGTTCTCTGCAACTTTTTTGGCCCACAAAGGACACTAGCATGTCATACTAAAAAAAAGAACACATTGGGAGTTTTTAAAAAAAATTATAAAGATTTATTTTTTCTTTCTAAAGCAAACCCATGTAAGACAAACTTACCTTAGTTACTAACAGCTATCTTACAAGAACTCTAAACCATTGGAAGAAAGTTAATCAAAACCACATTTGTACCTAAAATGCTCCAACTCGAGAGAGACTAGGAGTTTATACTCTGAGTAGTATGAACACTACTCTGGTGAGCCTGAACTGGGCTGGCAAATCAAGAGCAGCATTCTCAAATCATGGATACCACTGAAGGGCTTCTCAGTTGGGTCACACGTTTTTCCGACTCCTGGATTAAGCCCTCCAACTGGTAGTGCTACAGAACAGAAAGTTCCCTTGCTTCTAACAGAGTCCATGCCTGGGATTCTGAGCCCACTGCACTGTTTCTGGCATTTGCATCTTCACATAGCAGGAGTCTGTTGTGCAGTTGCCACAGGGGTAGCTTGGCGAGGGAGAGTGTACATCGCACCCAGAAACTGGTCTGCAATACGCCCAGCTTCTCTCAGGCCACTTAGCAGAGCTCCATGAACTGTCGCTGGGTAATTACGAATTGTATGTTCTCCAGCAAAGAAGAGACGAGGAATTGGCTGGAAAAGAAAGAGTAGTTTGGCAATGTCTTAAGACCCCATGAAGAAGGCAACAGGGCTCCTGTAAAATAAGGATGGTCAGAGCCAGCTTTGTTTTTAATAATGTCCCCTGAAATGGATACTGGATGTTTGAATAATCTGTAAATTCTGCAGAAGAATTG